GCAGGAGGACACGAACAACCGCTACCGAATCAGGGTCTCCTGGTGGGGTGAGGGAAATGGTCTAAAATCAATGGTGCTAGCAACTCTGCAACTATACTGAAAACCTCTGAATTATAATACATCTTAAATGGGTGCTTCATACTGTATGTAAATCCCATCTCGATAAAGCTGTTATAAAAAATGAGGTGCAGGGTAAGCCTTCAACAAATCACAAATCTGGTTACATGCATGTATTTGAAAAAAAGACTGGGGCTCAGGAAAGACTTGGTGTTAGACAAATGCAGCTTTCTAAAGTCCTAAAGGAAGGACCCCTGCTCCAGGGGGAAGGACCCCTGCTCCAGAGGCTCTGACTGCAGGGGGTAAAGAAATTCCAAGTCCACCACGGCACTGAGAGAACCTCTCTGGCTAAGACTGATCAAGACACAAAATTAGAGAGAATGAAAAAAGTGCATCTATCCAAGGAAGGAAAACACTGATAGACTATTTGAAGAGAATCACCTTATCAAAGAGCCCATCACGGGATACCAGCTGCCTTGCCCATTGTCAGAAAGAGGAGGAGGAGGAAGGGCCCAGAGAGGGACGCCAAAATCTGAACCTGGACCACCACTTCATCTAAGCCTGACTGAGCTGGGACTAGCAAAAGTCACTCAGGTCCTCACCCTGGGTCTACCTACAGGCGCCTTCTTATCTTCAGGTGTCTCCTTCCTCCGCTGTCGGAGGGAAGGAGAAAGGAACAGAAAAGGACAGACAAATGTCAACCTAATGAGATGAGCAGACCTTGACCAGACCCGAGTTCCCAGACTCTTCCTCTACCCCTCGGCCAAGGGTCTCAGGGGTGGCTACCACAGTGTCATCTAAGCCAGTAAGTGGCAAACAGAAAAAAATAGCTAATGCCTGAGCATTTTACCACAGACCAGGCACCATGCTTGATGTTTCCTATGTATTACCTTTTTAATTCTTACAACCTTATGAGGAGGGTGTGATTATGATGCCAGTTTTACAGATAAGGAAAATGAGACTGAAGAGATTAAGTCATTTACTGAAGTGATCTTGGGCACAACCAGCACCGAAGCCCTTAGCACACTGGGTCGGATTCCCCAAACCAGGCTCTTACCACATGCTGTCTACGGAAATCACAGAAGTCACAGTTTAGCAAAAAACTGGGATGCAATTACACTGAGAGGAGAAGAAAAGGAGAGGCTGTACAGGGTGGGAGTATAAACTTTCCCATAATGCCTGCAGCAGGAAATCAACAGATGCCTAAAACTGACAGATTCATAAGTATCACTATAAGCATATTACTTAGAAACATGCAGTAAACAGCAGACAAAAGAGCTAACAGCTGAAAGTGGCTACTTCCAGGGAGAGGACTTGGGGCAGGGAACTGCTTGCTAGTTTTCTTTTAAAAACCTTTTGCTATTAGACCTGTTTAAAATCATGCCTATTTTTTCCTTTGAAAAAATGATTTTAAAAGAAAAAGAAAGAAACTCAAGAGATATGCCAACCAAAGTCTAAGGCAGTGAACATCCATGGCTTTTGCCACACAGCTTCCATCCTCCACTGGTAAGAGCACTTGGGTTTTTGTTTGGAGAATCTCCCTCCTTCACTGGCTAATTTGATGGGCATGTCATCCAGGAACCCCTTGCTCTCCACCAAGGGTAAGACTCCAGGGAGCCAACACCCTCCTCCTGGAATCTTAAGCAGAATGGCAACAAGACCTATGACAGCTGGAACTAATTCACCTAAAAGTAGAAACCCTCCATTAGTTCCTTCCACTCACACAGGCCCCAGGACTCCCTTGGTTCAGACTTTTTAAGCTTTTCCTTAAATTCTCTGAGATGCCCATTTCCTTCTAATGAATTCCTCTCCTGGTTAAGTTAGCCGAGTCACTCTGTTGCTCATAACCTAAGAAAGTTAATGGAAATATCTAATATTTGAGGTTGACTTGAGCTTTTATTTGTCAGTGTAACTATAGTTGTTTGCAAACTTTTAACCTAAAAAATACACTTTACATCACAATCCAACACACACACATATGTGCACACACATATCTTGTGTATACATAAATATAGCTGAAACAAAAGTTCTGCCGAAAATGTCCACCCTAACACTCTAAGAGCATCCATTCAATTTTCTTTTTTTAAGATGACATTTTTAAAGAGCAGTTTTAAAGTTTACAACAAAGTCGATGGGAAGGTACAGAGATTTCCCATATACCTCCTACCTCCACATGCACAGCCTCCTGTTACCAACATCACTCACCAGGATGTCCTGTCTTTTTTTTTTTTAAGCCAAGGATGAACCTACACTGACACTTCATCATCACCCAAAGTAGATACCTCCCCTTAGGGTTCACTCTAATGAAGTGAATGGTGTTATACATTCTATATGTTTGGACAAAGGTATAAGGACACATACCCATCTTTAGATCATTGAGGGTTTTCTCGGCCCTAAAAAGTCCTCTGTGTTCCACCCATTATTCACCCATTCACCCCAAAAACTCCTGGCAACTACTGATTTTTTTATTGTCTCCACAGTTTTGTTTTTGCCATAATGTCCTATAGTTGAAATCTACTTCTTTTCTAATATTGGTCCTACCCCAGTAAGTTGATTTTAGATCTGCTGGTGGTCATGATCTGCAGTTTGAAACACACTGGCTCCGTACACCTGCTGCATCTACCCCCAACAATTAAAAACAACCCAGAGAGTACGCGAGCCACCTCTCTACGTGCATGGGTGGCGTGCTACAGAGCATGGCCTGGCTGGTGGGGACACACCGACAGAGTCCCAGGGTCCCAACTCCCGCTGGAGCACACCAATCACCTAAACTATCTGCACTGCTGACCTCAACAGAAATGTGTGTTCATTTACTCACTCATTTGCTCATGCGCTGAGCATTCATTCAGTGGCGTGAATATGTGGCAGTTCATGGGGACTGTCCAGAGCCATAAATTCTATCTGAGGCTGGCTCAGAGGAGAGGAATCTGGGACAAAGCCTGTACCGTGATGGAATGAATGTTTATCATCTTGTCCTGCTTAAGAGCTCGGAATGTCTCCAAGATCAGATCTGAGCAATGATTATTTCATTCCCACCTTTGAAGTAAAACAACTTTCAAGTCTAGCCTAGGAAGAAGGAATAAAAGTGATTTTCTGTCTCCTTTGTTCTAAAGGTTTCTTGTTAGCTTCCAACTTTGGTTAGAATTCCTTGCTCATGATTTTACTACCAACTTCCTGCCCCACTGGACAAGCAGCAAAACATCAAGGGATGAAAGAGGGTGTCAATTCATTCAAATTCAGTTTAAGGCCAATGTCTTGGTCTTAGGAACTTTCTGGATCTCTTTATTACAGCAAGCAAAAAGAAGCGAAAATGCCCTTCTCCTACATTTTCCTCATACCCATTGCACTGGCTCAACCATACCAAAACAGTGAGCAGCCAAACCAAAACAGCGAGCAGCCATACCAAAACAGTGAGCAAGAGCGCTGAGTAGGACTTGGGCATGACACGATGGGGAATGGATTTTCCCCATCTCTCCAGCATCCCACAGCTGGGCAGTGGCAGGCTATAGAGACTCGGGACTGGGGGCCTGTGGTTGGGAGGTAGCAAGACCTATATTGTAAGGTCTTGGGCAGAAAGTGGATAGGGGACTGTGAACTGTGGTCATCTCTATCCTAACTTGAAATGAGAAAACATTCTGTAAATATATTTTTAATCCTCACCCGAGGGCATTTTTTCATTGCTTTTAGAAAGAGAGGAAGGGGGAGAGAGAAAAAGAAACATCAATCGTTTGCCCTGTCTTACTCGCCTCTATCGGTCGAGTGATCGTTAGTACATTCCAACCAACTGAGCCAAACCGGGCAGGGCTCTAGAAGTAGTCTTGGAAGAAGAGCCAATCTAGGGGCAGTTGGGCTAGCCATCTCAGGGGCTTGCTGAGACAGGAAAAGGGGAAGGGAATCAGGTACTGAGTGGAGGGAGGGATACAAACTCCCCATCACGTTGGCTCCCATTTCACTCTCACCCACCATAGCTTGGAAATTGATGAAATGTACACACACCATTTTGGGTTAAGTTATCCAGCAGAGCCTTGAAACCCTCAGCCACAAATTACCTTCTTCTGCCTCTCCGAGGGGGAAAACCAACCAAAAGTTCAGCTAGGGTGGGGACAGGGACAGGAGACAGGGAGTGATGAGAGCCGGGCAGATCGGTTAAGCACCGAAGAACTGTTCTCTCCCACCCTCAGTGCGTCCAGAAAGGTCACTCGCGTAGGTAACTTCCCTTCCCTTCTCTGCCCTGGTTCCGGCATCTACTTGCACCGGGCTTGGATGCTGGAAACGGAAGTAAAACCAACAAACCGTCCCAGGAAGCTATCAATTGACCGACAGGGAGAAGGGAGCGGGAGAACTGCAAGGGGGAAGGAGAAATCCGAGCAGAGAGGAGACCCCTCCAGCAGACAGTCCTATCCCTTCTGGCCACTTGGAGTCCTACTTGCCCCCATCCCTTAGTTTATGCCCTAGGATTTCACGCTCTACCCTTTGTCTTATTACTACTTATCACCCAAAGTACCCAGAAGTTCTTTGAAGGGCCGCTGAAATCACCAGGACCCACAGAAAAGCCTAAGCTCCCTCGTCGGGACCCAAAGTCCAAAAGAGCGCATGGATATCTCGTCCCTGGAGCTCATTCTCCTACAACCCAATCAACCGCCCACAGGACGATTGAGTAGTGAGCCCCGAGACCCGCGCCGCGTCCGGGGCAGGAGCCGCAGTGTCCTCCCCAAAAGCAGGAACTGTCCTCGAGCCTCAGAAAAATCCTATCCCGCGACTGTCCAAGAATCCCACTGCCCGCGGAGGGGCGGGAGAAAAGAACCGCCGCGAGGAGTTGACCGCCCGAAGCGCAGCACCAGGTGATGTCAGCGAGCTAGCCGCGGGGCGCCGGAGCCGCGGAATTGGAAATGTAATGTACCCAGCTGGGGAAGCAGTGAGGCGGCGACGCCCCTTTTTCTTACCTCCGTCTGCCCCTCCGGGGGCACGTCCACCAGGGTACACCAGCCCCGCGTTCCGTTCATCTTCTTCCCGCGTGGGCAGCAAATCCAAGCCCACGGTCCAGCTGTCCAGCTCCAACGAGGCGGGCGCGCACGCGCGCGCGCGGAGCCACCTCTTGTATAGGTGCGTCAAGGGCGGGGCCTGGCGACAGGACACGCCCCTAAGGCGCCGTTCGCCTAGTGAGCGTAAATGCGAGGTGGGCGTGGCCTAGAGGCCTCAGGGCACGCCCACCTGCGCCAGCTCAGATTTACATAGAGGTGGGGCTTGGGTGCTACCTGAGGCTACTGTGCTCAAGTTTTGTCCAATGTGTGGTTTTACCTCAAACTTTCTTAGTTTTGTTGTGTCCTCCTTTCAACTCCAACATCAGTATTGGTAAGAGAATCACCCTGCCTGGCCCTACATAATGAGTTGGAAAAAAGCTTCCAGACATTCTCTTCTCCCCACTTATAGGCCAGTCCGCAGGCTTTTGGAGGCTGAGCAAATTTCCTGTACCATAGAAACGTAAGCACCAAGGACCGGCTCACTCAGACTGGCCTAAGCCAGTCTGGCAGGTGCCCTTTCCTGGCAGGAGGCCCAGGCCAAAGTCAAAGCCAGCTTGGCTCTGGGTGGGGCTTGTTTTACAGAAGCTATTATACCAAAGCTGCCTTTATATGGTTGGGAGAGGTGGGACCAGTCCTTAAAAGGAATTTGTATTCTTGTGTAAGGATGAGCCTCAATTTCTCCAGTGGTGTTTGCTCCCCAACCCCCAGGTTAGCATCTTAAGGGTCTGAGAGGGAGGATGGCCAAGCAAGATCTTGGAGCCTCTTCCCAGCCCAGTTGCTTTCTGCAGGTGGCTGCTCCACAGGGTTACAGTCCACGTGGAAGGGAGGCAGGAGGAGGTCTGACACACTCTTGAGTGGGCAGTGCCCCTGAATCCAGCAACAGGCTCTGGTGAACAGCTAGCTTCCTCTTCAAGGTAACACAAGGACAGGGGTGACTGAAACTTCCGTACCTCCCAAGTAGTGACCGGATCTGTGCCAGGCGGGAATGGATTTGTTTTTGGGATTTGTACCTGGGAGGTGAATGCTGGGGATATCCCTATGCCCCAAGGGAATAAAACCCAGTTCTGGTATCTCCTCTAACCCTCAAAGAAGGCATTTACTGGCCCTGCTATTCCCAGGAGCTTGTTTAGGAGAAAATGGAGGCGTATAAACATTTCCCAGGTCCCTAGGTTCCACCTGATCTGTTGTAAAGCCCTCTAAAAAGTGGGTAAAGAAAACCCTGACTTCAGCCTCCAAGCTGTGCACTTAAAATAGTTTCTTCATACTACATGGCCCTCCCAATAAGCTAGGAAAAAGAATGAAAAAAAAAACAAGTCAAGGATTTCAGTATAGATATAATTTTAATATTTAATTTAAAATAAAAATCAAGGCTGGATTGGTTTGGAATATCTGATTTGCAGAGAATTTTTTTAAATCACAAAATCACAAGTCATTGGTGAGAACAGCTTTCTTCTCCCCCCAGGCTCCTCACAGAGCCTGCTTAGGAAAGGAGGTGAATCACCTCCCTCATGTTTTCCCCACTAGGGCTCGGCTCTCCCCAAAACCCAAAGAAGGAATAAACCCTGTTTTGCCTCTTCCCATTTCTACCAAGAGTCTGCCTCTAGGCCCAGTTAGGAGGGTCCTTCAGTTCCTCATTGAGGATGGGCACATCTGGTCAGAGAAGTCACGAGAAAGGCTATACGGGGAGGGACTGAAATCTTTGCTTTTCTATTTCTTCTTTTAAACATTTTATTTATTTATTTCTAGAGAGAGGGGAGGAGAAGGGAGAGAGAAAGAGACAGAGAGAAATATCAATGTACGAGAGAAACACTGATCAGTTGCCTCTTGAACACTCCCAGCTGGGGGCCTGGCCCACAATCCAGGCAGCGCCCCGACTAGGAATTGAGCCAGCAACATTTCAGTTTGTGGGGTGATACCAAACCCACCGAACCATACTGGTAACGACTGAAATCTGCTTTTCAACTTGTGTAGACAGTTGTCAGCATTCTCAGATACAACTGCCTTATAAACATATCCACAGTCACAGAGGGAGGAGGAAGGATGGAAACCCTGAGCAGACCCAGGCCCCACCACCTCACCGTGGCACTACCAAAGTCCCTCTCCCAGAGGCTCCTCAGCAGGGAAGCCAGTAGCTCTCTTCCCCAGTCACTGGGGCCACAGGAAAGGCTGAGGGCCCTGGATGGGAGAAAGCTGGACCTTGGAGAGGTACGAATGTGTGGGTATAAAAGGCAAGAAGAGCATCCTTACTCCTCACCATGGCTAAGGCAGAGAGCAAATAAGGAATTTAGGAATGGTAAAAATGGAAAAGGGAGGAGAAAGGGTCTCCTGGAGCCACTTGCTTGAGAAAGACAAAAAAACAGGACTGGAGGTGGGTGGGGACTACCACAGAGGCCCCATGACTGTGCAAAGAGGAGCATCGAGGAGCAGGTAGAGCCACGCCAGCGTGTCCACTACCCATAACGTCCCCCTCACCCTGCTCCAGAGTGGGAGGAGAGCAAGTTGCAGGAGTTACGGAAGCAGAATCACCTAGGGTACTTCCCTGAGCCTGAAGGTTAAGGACTAAAGAAATAAAGCTTTACATACATGGCAATTTCTCTCCCCTCCTGTCCCGCCCAATTCCCCTCACCTATGTGCTGACCACTCTGCCACTGTGAGAGAGAAGAGGGCTCGGCACTCGTGTGCTCAGGTGGCCTGATAAAATACCCACTCCTGAAGAGGAAAAGGAAAGTCTGTACCACCTTAGTGCTGCTACCCTTTTATCACCATCACTCACACCCCTCCCTGTCTCAGGTCTAAATGATTCGGTCCTTCGCAGGACTGAGGAACCTGAGGCGGGGCAGAGCAGGGCTGGCCACGACAGGCCTCAAACCGTGGTTTCTGGGCCCTTGTGGACCACAAGCTAACAGGAGCTGGTCTGCAGGTTGCTCTCCGTAAGCAATGATGCGATGGAGGAAGGATCATACACACGGTCGAATTCCTCATCTGAGCTCAGCCCTTCATGTTGGAGGGTTGACTCAGCAGCTGAGCGAGAAGCTTTGCGCCTGAGTCAGAGAAAGGAATACTAGTAATGGAGGTAGAAAAATTCAGACAGATGTCCTTTTCATGCTAGAGACTTCCAATTCTTCTAAGACCTAAAGGTACTCGCAAGATCCCCCACTAATCAGTGACTTGGGGAGATGGGGTATAGAATGGGGGCTGAGATACTAAAAGGTAATCAATCATATTGGCTTCCAGGCAGGAAGAAGTGACTTTGAAGTCCCATCTGAGAGATCCTCCTCAGGGGGACTTCAGCCTGCAAGGTCTCCTGGGGGCCACCATAGGATGGAAATAATGAGTCATCTGGGCTGCAGTCTTGTTGCTCCATTGGGAAAAGGGGTGGCGATTCCCTCTAGTGGAGGGTGCCCCAGCCCTTCTCCTACAGGGCTTTTATTAGGGTTGGGAAGTGCAGGGGGACACAGCACAAGTGCATAGCTTATCAATCAATGTCCAGTAGGCTAAAGGCATAAGAAACTAACACCATCTATAGATAACAATTAAAGGAACACTAAAATCTTTTCAGGATGGTGTCTGCGAGGCATGCAGGCGCCAGACAGCTGTAAAGGCCTATGTTGTGAAGTAGGGGGGTTTCACTCCTTATGCCTTGAACTCAAGCATCTTGGTTATACTAACAGTGCTTATCGTTGAGCAGAGCCGGCTTCAGAGGACAAAAATGTACATTTCAGGCCTGATTCCCACAAGACCCTTGATGTTAGAATCGAGTCACGTCTGCCACCTGCGTTATGACCTGGTTTTCCAGGGAGACTTACTAGCCCCTTACTAGCTTGCTCTCATGGGGCTACAACCTCTAAAACCACACCAAGTGGTCCCCAACATCCTCCTCTCCGTAAATACCAACTGGGACCGCTCATCCCCTTCCTGCTCCACTGTCCCGATGGGGCAGGGGCAGGGGCAGAAAAACAGCCCATACCAGGAGTCCTTCTCCAGAGCTTTGATCCGGGCCTGGAGCTGTTCATTGACCTCATGCTGTTCCTCCAGCTCACGCTGAGCCTTCTTCCTCAGGCCGTCCAGTCGCTCAATTTCTTCTTCTGCTTCATCCACCTGCCGCTTCAAAGCCTTCACCCTCAGGCTTAGCTGGGCAGGGTATCAAGTCCCCACATTAGAAAAGCATCTGCTGCCACCACGGCCTGGGATCCTCCCCTGTAGCAATCTTGACAAGGGATCACTTCCCCTAGAAAAATGTTGACCATGGGCCGGTTCCCTAACCTCATAGGTTTGTCTTAGGGATTAAATGAATTTATACATGTGTAACACTTAAGAAAGAGGAGCTAGCACATCACAGGCACTCACTACACGTGCTTCCTATGACTTCTCTAATCCAGTCCTTCAAGTCTCTGACTTACACAAGGAAAGTCTAAGTCTGAAAGACCTATGAGGTGAAGCCAACCTTGGCCTTCAAGCAAATGCAGTATGTATGGGCCAAATGGTTGCTTGGGCCCGGCTGTGTCCGTACCTGGTCTTTCTGGTCATTGACATGCTGCCGCTCATCATCAATCTGGATGGACAGCTCTTTAACCCTCCGCTCCAGTTTTCGGTTGGTGGACTGCAGGACTGTCTTCTCCCTGAGATGGTGGAATAGGGGCATGTCTGTGGCTGCCACTATTTCTAAAGAAAACCCTACTTGGCTTCTAGTGCCTCCCAAACCTCTCTCAGTCATGAGCCCCATGGTCAGACTGGGAAGCATCCAGGGCAAATCCAAAGAATCAGAGACAAACATCACTCATATTTTAGAATTTCTGTAACTCTCTGCTATCTGTCAAGAGGGAAGTTCTCCGGGTTGAAGATCAGGCCCAGTTGGCCACATCTGAGGTGGATGATGGAGGGTGCGCCAGCGGCAGAGGCAGAGAGGAAATATGGGCTCATCTCACCTCTCTTCGGCCTGCAGCCGCTCCTGCAACTCCCGATTCTGGGATTCAAGCTGCGAGAGGCTGCTATTGGGCTTCTGGAAGCCTTCTGAGCTGGCCAACCGGCTCTTCAGGTCCTTGTTCTGGGAGGGACAGGAAGCCTCCACAGT